CAACCCTATGATGTGATAACCCCACCACGGCGCTTGTGCCAGGCTAGGTGCACGTTACGGCCGCGATGATGTGTCGAACGCCCGCCGGCAGGAGGTCACGGGACAGACCCAGTAGGTGGCACGGGTCGACTGACTGAGATGACCGGCCGATGCACCGCCTGTGCCCCCATACTGTGCCTACTTGCTGCGTTTTAGCCGCCCGGCGCTCCGCTCGTTGTTGTGTAACAGCCCCACCGGAGCCTTGCACACTAACACACCAGCCGTTGCAGTGCTGAAATTAATACTTTTTTCCTCGAACATTTTTTTTTACCGATTTGGATTTCCGTTCCAGCAGCCGATACCGCCGTAATTTCCAACGTCCCCTGGACGTCTCGGATTTATTTTCGGCTTCAAACTTTAAGCCGTAATAGGAGCCGTGCGCAAGCTTACCTCCTATAAAAATCACGGGGGCCAACAGACTTTCAACTGCCCCGATCAGAATTAAGTTGCCCCCTCAGCCCAATCTCACCAAAAGCACCTGAGCACAATCTTGCCATGCGCCTACTCAATCCGTGCGTGTCGTTATTTTTTAAATACCCGCCTGGAGAAATAATGGTTCGTTGCAGACGCTGCTGGTGAGATGCGTGGCTGAGCAGGGCTCACTCAGCAGCTGGGAGTTTAAAAAAAGGGGGATTGTTTTGTACATTTGTAAAAGTGCAGCCCTGCAAATGCTCGGCTCGCTCTCACTGCCGGCAGAAAGGCTCTCAACGTGCGAGCGAATTCAGGTCCGTGACAAATCGCGTCTTCGTGATCCGAATAATTCGATACATTCTTTGGTAGTGGCGGTGGTGGTGGTGGTGATGGTAATAATTCAAATTTATAATGTGCATTCCATACTAGGGTCCCCCCCCCCCCGCCCAAAAAAAAATAGTTTTAGTGATGCTGAACGAGGGGGGGTGGGAGGATTCCTATTCAAAACGCGACCGTGTGGAAAGCAAAAGTTTCCCAAAAACAATGAAAACCGAAAAGGATATCGACATCCCCAAGGAATTATCCTTTAAAAAAAAATGCCCGTCCACTGTGATGCATCGCTGCAGATGACGCCTTCCATTCATCCATTGGGGATACCTGGTGTTAGGTCCTCACGTGCTGCAGAAACGTTACGGGGGGCTTGTTAGGCAAAGGCGCAGCCCCGCAATTGCGCTGCTCTCTCGCCGCTGCCGGCGGATGGGCCTCCACCACTGCAGGCGAGCTCGAGAGAAACCTCCGATTGTCGCGGGCGGCTTCGTACGGTGCGAAAGAAGTTCAACATCCACGCGGGGAGGATCCTCGAGAGCGAGGGTGGGGGAACGTCCGGCCCGCGGGCCGTATGAGACCCCGCGAAATTATTTGGGTCTGGGCCCTGCCAAGGCAACCGCAGGCGGGACTCGAAATTCAATAAATCTAGGAGCAAACCTGGAAAAGCAGTTGCGAGTAGCAGCAACATCATCAATACCAGCTAACATCACCACACGCCTCGCCAAAGAGAAGCAGTTTCAGCCATCGCATTAGGGGCGAGTTAATTAAATGTTTGACCAAATGTAACGGGTTCATTTTTAAGTTGATAATTTTGTATGGCCCGCGAATGATGTTATATAAATATCCAAATAGCTCTTGGCAGAAAAAAACGTTCCCCACCCATGCTCAAGAGCAGGGGTCACCAAACTACGGCCCGCGGGCCGAATCTGGCCCGCGATGTCAGTCCATCAGGCCCGCCGACGGTACTTGAATTTGGTTGATAAAACGTATGGAACACGAGACGTTGTGATACAATTTAAATTTAAATATTATGTTTAGACTACTAGGAGATCTTGACCGCTATGTTCCTTAAATTTGCTATTTAAAATGTTAAATTATTGTATCTAGATGTTCTTGTTTATTGTAATGTTTGCTTATTTCGCGCCATCCCAAGCACTTCCCCGGCTCGTGGTAGTTCCGCCTACGCTCTGACGTTACCATGGTTTCCATGGCAACGTCATGGCAACACGTTACTATGGTTTCCATGGCAACACACACAAACACGCATCTTTCCCGCCCCAAGATTTTCCAGCTGTCGACACAGGTCCGACGCTACAGAAATATTTATTTATTATGCGGCCCGCGCTCGTCATTCTTTCAGGTATCCGGCCCACTGTGAAAAAAGTTTGGTGACCCCTGCTCTGGAGTCGAGAGCAAGTAGCCCTTCGCTCAGTTTTAAGAGAGGGGGAGATCTTTTGACGATAAGACATCGTCAGCGGGAGGACCGCCACACATTTGAAGCCATTGTTGGGGTTTGACGGCACGGTGGTGGTGATGATGATGATGGGGGGGGGGGGGGGTGTTGTCACTGTTTGTGTATCGTGGGGGGGCCGCATGCTAAGGGGGCCGCCAGTGGCACGTGGGGCCATACACTCGAGAGATATTTGGCCTACTCTTTCACGTCTTGGAAGAGGTTTTCCGTGAACCCGTTTACATTGCTGGGTGGACGGGGGTCGCGGAGATGAGGTGGCGGGGATTTGAATCGAGTGTTGCACCCTTGCTTCAGCTGTCACGAGACGGGAGATGGAGTCGAACCGGAGCCCTAGTCTAGCGTGCGAACCATCCTATGGCTTGTTACACAATATTAATAATGATAATCAGAATCTGTAGTTATCCTGCAAGGAATCCAATGAGCTATGAAGCTCTTCTTTTCACAGATGTCCAGCAGGGGCACGGTTGTCAGAAAGTTACAGCAACAAATAATAATAACAACCCACGTTAGGAGTGCACAGTGTGAATACTAATTAAGCGAATCAGAAATATATCACGGCACTTAGAATCCGAATCGGAGTAGGTACAGGGTGCTTCCAATTTTATGTTTAACACAACCGACGTGCTTGCGTGCGGGGATGGAATTCCAGCTCAGACCCCGCCTGTTTGCCCTTCGCCACATCTATGTAACCTCCTTGTTCTAACAACTCTCTCGCTGTGTTTCTTCCTGGCTCAGCAGTTCTACTGCTGGATTTATTTTTTTCCGCCCGAAGACGACCGCTCGTGTTGCGATCGAAACGTCGTGATATATTATTTTTTTCTTTCTACCCACGTGACTTTACCGAAAGAACCAAAGGGTACTTATATGGGACTATATTTTAATGGAAAAAGAACGGACAATAATACACTGTAACGTAATGAAACAAATGTAATGTTAATAGCTTCAAAAAGTCAGAGAGCCTCCCACTTCATTAGACCTCCTTTGCCAGTACCCAAAATATAATAATAGTCCTGGCAAAGGAGGTCCAATGATGTAAATGCTTACCCCGAGCCCTCATTACTTTGATAGTGTCATTGTCTTTGAGCTGTGTGACGCCTTTTGGCGTCCTCTGGTCGAGCACCAATTGAAACGAGGCTCAAAAGAAAAGCCGTCTCTGGTGTGGACCAATCAGTTTCAAGGACAATGCATAATCTATTATCGGAGTGTGTTTTCTGCTTGCATTTTCACCACGAGTATTGTGGTTAATGCAGACATGATTCCTTGTTAAAAAAAAGTTTCAGTTTTGTTGCCAGGAAAAAAAGGGGAAAACCCCCCCAATTATGATAGTCTCCCACTTGTTCGCCCGCATTGTCAACACATTGCCTGACATCTTCTACAGATGATCTCCAGGGCCCGGAGGCGACACTTCTTGTGGCGTCGTTGTTGTTGTTGCAAATTCTCAGAAGTGTTCACATTTTAGTTTGAAGCACCCACTGTATTTACACTGGAGGAATCCGATGATCTCGAAAGCTCTTTTTCACGGATACATGTGAGCAGTCCCAAGTGAGCTCCAGCTCTCCGTCGACCTTGAGCAAGCACGAGACGCTCAAGACGTGGAAGGGTGACTCTGTTTGTTCGTAGAGCTATTTCCGAAATTCAGGAATCCAACCAAGAAATATATTATGAAAGTGGGATTGGGGGGGGGGGGGCTCATTAAGCTGATTGGTGGGAGGGGGGAGCATCTCGTGTACCAAGCGAAGCTTCCAGGGGGTTTAATGAGAGCATCCGCAGCAGATGACGACGATGCACGAGGTGGTTGTTGGGTGCTCAACGTTGTAACCGGAAGACCCTGGAGCCGTCGTGCACCCTCTCGGCTGAAAGACGACACTCATCGTCACGTGGGGGGGGGGGGAGGGGGGGGGCTCCCACCACCCCCACGGGCCGCTCACGCCGCTCGTTAAATACGCGATCGGTAACACGAGCGGCGGTGGCGGCGGTAGTAGCGGTGGTGGTGGTTTTGCTGGTTGGTGGTGGTGGTGGTGGTTTTGCTGGTTGGTGGTGGTGGTGGTTTTGCTGGTTGGTGGTGGTGGTTTTGCTGGGTGGTGGTTTTGCTGGGTGGTGGTGGTGGTGGTGGTTTTGCTGGTGGTGGTTTTGCTGGGTGGTGGTGGTGGTGGTGGTTTTTGCTGGGTGGCTGTGGTGGTGGTTTTGCTGGTGGTGGTTTTGCTGGGTGGTGGTGGTTTTGCTGGGTGGCTGTGGTGGTGGTTTTGCTGGTGGTGGTTTTGCTGGGTGGTGGTGGTGGTTTTGCTGGGTGGCTGTGGTGGTGGTTTTGCTGGTGGTGGTTTTGCTGGGTGGTGGTGGTGGTTTTGCTGGGTGGCGGTGGTGGTGGTTTTGCTGGTTGGTGGTGGTGGTTTTGCTGGTTGGTGGTGGTGGTGGTTTTGCTGGTTGGTGGTGGTGGTTTTGCTGGTTGGTGGCTGTGGTGGTGGTTTTGCTGGGTGGTGGTGGTGGTGGTGGTTTTGCTGGTTGGTGGTGGTGGTTTTGCTGGTTGGTGGTGGTGCTGTCGGTGACGGTGACTCGACGTACGGCGCTCCAAATCGGCTAGGCCTATAATCCAGCGCCTTCAAATTGACAACAACAACAATAATAATAAGCCGGGACGTGTGACAGCCGTCGTGGTGTTATAAGCCGTGCGTGCGAGCGTGCGTGCGTGCGTGAGGTTGGTGTGTACGTACGCTGTCTCTGTGTGTGTGTGGGGTTATTGTGTACGTAGGCTCTGTGTGTGTGTGCTTGTGTACGTAGGCTGTGTGTGTGTGCTTGTGTACGTACACTGTGTGTGTGTGTTCTTGTGTGTGCGTGAGAGAGACAGAGAGCGAGCTTGCCAGCCGTGCGTCGTGTGTGCTAAGCGAAGCGGCTGCTGTAGCAATAGCCGCATCAACAGCAGCCTCGGCAACAGCAGCAGCGATGGCGGTCCATTGTCTTGGCCATCGCTGCCTCGGTTGCCTGCTGCTCATTTGCGTGGCTTACAACGCCGACTGCCAAATCGCTGACGAGGTAAGGCCCCCCCACCCTCTCTCCTCATTGTGCGCGTGGGACGAACTGATGATCATAACCAACCTACCCCCCTCCTTTCTGGGCTACTACATTAGCTGTATAATCCACCACTCCACCCCCTGCCATGCGGATGTGTGGTGTTTGTTGTTGTTGCACAGTTACACAGCACTCATCATTGTTCGCGCGCCGGATGGTTTTGTATTCGTATCGCGAGACTGCGGTGTCAAAGACGTCTCGTTGACAGTTCCGTATTGTCAAGCGAGCTTTGTCATTTTTGTCCTCCTCGCCACCCCCTCCTCCCCCCCACGGAATTCTGACCGAGGCCAGATAAGCCTTGCTGTGCCCTCTGTGTGTGTATGGGATGCATGCGTGTATACTGTATGTATGTTGGACTTCTTTCGCACCGTACGTAGTCAAGCGCGCTAACTTGCTGCATTTTAGCCGCCCGGCGCTCCACACATACATACAAAGACAAAGATCCCCCGTATAGCCTGCACAGACTGTTGAGGCAAGTGTTGTTAGCGAGCACCTATGAAGGCCTGAACTGTACACAAATGGGTGGGTGGCCAGCACCACGCCCGACCGCCTTTGTCTCCCCAGTGGTGATGTTTACACACCGCACCAGGTACACATTTGAGGCTGAGTTGACCTAGGTGAGGCCCAGGACCGTTTCAGATAATCGTAACACTTGGTGTTGGCCGTGAGCGGGAATCGAACTCGGTCGCTAGGTTCATCGTGCAGCGCGCTAACCACTACACTACCGTTCCCCACACATACATACACACAAATACATACACACATATATCCACGCATACATCGATCGCACACATACATACACATATACATCGGCCACACACATCTGATGGAACAAACTCATAAACATCTATTGCATAATGAGCACAACATTTTGTTGATGCTGCCTTGCGCTGCGTTAGCATTGGTCCACAATCACAAGTAAACAATGTAATAATAAACCTAAGCACATTCCCAAACAAACAATGTAATCATAAACTTAAGCACTTTCACAATTAAACAATGTAAAAATAAACTCAGCACATTCACAAATAATGTCAGAATAATCCTAAGCACATTCACAAATAAACAATGTAATCATAAACTTAAGCACTTTCACAATTAAACAATGTAAAAATAAACTCAGCACATTCACAAATAATGTCAGAATAATTCTAAGCACATTCACAAATAAACAATGTAATAATAAACCTAAGCACTTCCACAAATAAACAATGTAATAATAAACCTAAGCACTTTCACAAATAAACACTATGCAATGATAAACCTCAGTACGTTCGCCTTAGGGGACTTTTCAAGCGACGGCCCGTATTCATATGAAGAAAAAACGATAATAGACAACGTTTCGGGCAACGGCCCTCCTTGAGACGTTGCCTCTTAACTACCGCGCGTGTCCTTGTAAATAATGTACGGCGCTGTTGACGAACGCGTCGAGTTGTCTTTGCTGTTGTTGATGTGCGAGCGAGCGCCCTGCGATGCGGCAGTGACGGCGCTGTCCACGGTACTGAAACGTGATGAGCACGAGGCCCTTACTCTTTTTGGTTATTTGGGCTAAAGTCACGTGAAGAAACAAAGAGTCATTCCTGCAGTCACGAACAGATGGTTGGAGGTCAAACAGTGTTAAGATAACAAAAGGGGTTCCACAGGGTTCCATCCTCGGCCCCCTCTTGTTCTCTCTTTATGTCAATGAATTGAGCACTGACCTGGATTATTCCAGGGTAAATCTTTTTGCAAATGACACGATACTGATTACTGCTGGCCACTCTCCGGATGACGTGATTGCTACGCTCCAGGGTGATTTCAACAAACTACAACATCAGATAGTTTCTCTTAAACTAGTCCTGAATACCTCCAAAACCAAGGTGCTATGCTTCTCACCGGGACTAAAGCAGGAAGTTATTTTTCCCCAATTACATTCCTTGAATAATTATCAAATAGAGCAAGTCAAGATCTATAAGTATCTTGGGGTCATCCTGGATTCAAAACTGAATTTTGAAGATCACATTGATTATATTGGTAAAAAGACAAAAATAAAAATTGGTTTTCTGTATCGACACAAGCACTGCTTCCCCCCAATGTTCCGTTTGGAATTGATAAAAGCTACCATACTGCCTCTACTTGACTACTGTGACATCGTGTATAAATCAGCCCCAAGAACTGTACTGAAGAAGCTTGATTCCATCTATCACTCGGCCTTAAGATTTGCATTGAACTGCCCATATAGGACTCACCACTGTGATCTCTACATTGGGTCAAACTTAACATATCTTAATGTTCGACGGCTTGTGCACCAGATCTTATTTATTCACGATGTACTTACAAAAAAATCCGCAGACTACCTACTGGATCTCCTCTCTGTTTCAAAGAGCAAATTTGACCTCAGGTCTTCGCTCATTTACCAGCTTCACATTCCTTATTGCCGTATAAAAACCGGAGGAAGGGCCTTTGCTATTGATGCCCCCAGGGTCTGGAATGCTATTGCCAATAAACTGCAACTTGAATCACTACCTATGAGATCTTCACTCAAAACTGCTCTAGAGGAGTTGTACACCCCTAGCTGCCACTGCTATTCAGTGGCCTAAGATATGGCTCTCGGGTTTGGTGTTATAATTTATTAATGTAGTTTATTGTAAAAAATTCGGTCACAGTCCCTATAATCACTGTTACATTGCATTTATGGCTTTTATTTTGGTGATTTCGAAAACGTTTTTTTTTTGTTTGGCCATGTTTGTTTTTATTGTAGTACGGAGTTAGACTGATGGCCTAAATCTTAGTTGTCTTGTTGTTGTTTGACTTGCATCCCACTGGGATTTTTGCACACAGCGTTGGTGTACGGTGCTATTTCAGGAATATTTTGCTATTTTTTTCCTCGATTTTCTGTTTGCACAGTCACACATAGTCACTTTAAGATGTTTTTTTGTTCATGTTTTTGGTTTTTGTTTGTTGCGGTTGCACCCGATTCAAGAGCCGAATGGCTCACAGGGCTATACCAAAATAAATGGAACTATGAACTATGCTTCGAATCTAGTTAGCACGAGGCCTCGCAGCCTCCCTCAAGCGATGCGCTCGAATGGTCACGCAAACAGTGCGGGATTAAGCTAGTTGCGGGGCCTGTAGCTTGTGATATTATCAAGGGGGCACTAAATAAAATAAAAACACTTAAATATTAAACACACATATTTGTTTGTTTACTCGCATAGTAAAGTAATTTTATTTTTCCGTTTGCTATACAGCCAGATAATAGGACAAATCGTTCACCTTAAACACCCGGTCGTTCATAAACGTTTAAGGCGGATTAGTACTGTAGTAACAGAGCAAGTGCAGAATCACTGAACCGGAATTGATAGCTTTGAAGCATTTAGCGCGGGGCCCTTGAAAGTGCGGGGCCCGTAGCATCTGTAGCTACTTGTGCTACTAAGATAATCCGGCACTGCGCACAAGTCAATGCTGATTTGAATACAACGCAATGACAACGCCACATGTGTGTTACCTATTAAAGCCTTGGAGTCTTAAGACGTTTTTTTTTTGTTTTAAGGAGGGGTTCTGCATTAGGATGCTTAACGGGTGCCATGAAGAATCCGACGAACTATGGAGATATTTTTCACATATGTGCAACATGGACGGGTCAGAATGAATTGTCTCAGCCCATCATCCCTCTGGGGGCCGATACAACGAGTACCACGTTGTGGGGAAGTCAACAGTGATTGCTATATGGGCTCGCCCCCTCGCCATGGGAATGTGGAATTTCGACCAAGTACCACACAGGGGTGTAAACATGAAGCGAGCAGCAAGAACGTGATGCTACAATATACAACGTGGTGATGTGGCATTAAAAAAAAAACAAATAGAACGATTGATGATGATTGACCATCAAACCCCACGGTGTGCGGAATTGATTCCAGGAATCATTTCTCATAGAGCTGCGTCCTCAGACGGACGTGTAATGACACTCACTCGATGTCACTCTCGCTAGATGCTGCTAGCTGCCGTAGTAAACTGCTGCTGCTGCTTGCTCCCACACGCCGTGTCGCCTCACCGTTTGACATTTCTCCTCAATGCACGCTGACTTGCGTCTGCTCGTTCGTGATGTGTAAACGGTACTTGACATGGCCAAGACATTGGATGATGGAAGTCTCTCTCTCTCTCTCGCACTTCCCCAAAGAGGGCTTAGGAGCTTCTGCTGCTGCTGGCTGGTGCTAGCTAGCTGCTGTAGCTGCTAACTACTACTGCTTGCTGGTGCTAGCTAGCTACTGCTGCTAGCTACTGCTGGCTGGTGCTAGCTAGCTGCTGCAGCTGTTAACTACTACTGCTAGCTGCTACTGCTTGCTGGTGCTAGCTAGCTACTGCTGCTAGCTACTGCTGGCTGGTGCTAGCTGCTGCTGTAGCTGCTAGCTGCTTGCTGTTGCTGCTTGTTAGCTGCTGTAGCTGCTTGTTAGCTGCTGCTGCTGTTCGCTGCTGCTAGCTGCTGCTGCCGCTGTTCGCTGATGCTTGTTAGCTGCTCCTGATAGCTGAAAGGTCGTGAACGTAGCTCGCGGTGTTTGGGAATCCGGCTCAGGGCTCCCATCCGCGTCGTCTCGAGTTTATTTTTGTTACGCAATCACTTCTGGGTTTTATCGGCTTCGTTTATAACACACCGACCACGGCCATTCGGAGCATTCCCTTACAGTATATGGACCCCCCACTCCCCGCCATGACCCCGGAATTGTCAGGTACAGAGGCAGTAACGCGTTTACAGGAAATTGGATCATCATTTGAAATGCGAGATCTCTATATACCGTTGGTAACAAGATATTCGGAGTCATATTCTTAGTTTTTTCGGTAAAGTCACGTTGAAGAGGAACAACAAAATAACAAAATATATATAAAACAATAAAACATTCTCACGACGTTTCGACCATAACTCAAACGGTCATCATCAGGTGTGTCGGTTTGCATACATTTATTTTTAAAACGGTACATTTATTTAT